TTCAGCCCTGGATATACCGCGCGCATGTGGTCACCAAGTGCCGCGTCGAGCTTTTCAGCCGTGTCATACTGCAAAGGTCCAGAGTCAGGGTGATACTTCACGTACCATTGCCTCAAAACCAGACCGCTGACAGCGACGGGAGGGTCGCTCTCCGAGAGAAGCTGCGAGAGGACCTCCGCGGCGGCCTCATCGGCGAAGCTCTCCCGATACTGATTGAGTCGAAGACGCTGGCCTATGCATTCCTCCACAGCTTGGGCAGTATTCAATGCTCCCTTGGCGCCCCACTCCGTGCTGAGCCACTTCTGGCATACCCTGGCGTCAGCAGATACAGATAAATGTCCCGGGAGCCACTGCTTCAAGACGGCCCCGCCAGTAGTCCCCTCGGGCATGTCTGTGCGAATGCGTTCTCCATACCAGGTCTCCAGATGGCCAGCGTTCTGCACTTTGACAAGCGTCTCTTTGGAAGAATACTGCAGTAACCACGTCGTTGCGACCTTATTTGACACATACAGTGGTGGATCCAACTGTCGGAGCGCCCCGCATAATTTAAAAGCTGTATTATACTCGATGCCCAGGTGGCGGATGGCAGAACCGTGCTGCTCCTCCAGCTCCTGGGCGCTAGAAATACTAACCTTGCCAGGCACAACCCGATACTTGCCCCACCAAGTCTTGCACGCCTGGTGACTGACCTGGATACCCTTTGCAACGAGCGCCTGATGCAAATAATACGGGCTCTCGCAGTCGGCCAAGGGAGGCCGCGACAGCTCTGGGCCATACTGGTCGTCAAGGGCTTTCGCCGACAATGCCATGACCCATCCAAGAACACAGGCGATACCTTGATCCGAGATGGCTACGGATGTGACAGTGATCAGTCGGAGGCTTCCTGGGGCCGCTTGGGGTCCTCTTGGGGAAGGGGGGGAGCCTCCTGGCGCCGCTTGGGGTCCTCTTGAGGGGCTTTGGGGGGCTTCTTGGAAGCATCTTGGGGCCTCTTGGGGGCTTATTGGGTCCTCACGGCGGGCTCTTGGGGCCTCTTGAAGGCCTCCTGGGGCAACCTATGGCGCAACAGTAGGGGGACGTTTTATTCTCGGCGGCCGAGGGCGCAACCTATGGCGCAACCAATAGGGGGGCGTTTTATTCTCGGCGGCCGAGGGCGCAACCTATGGCGCAACCGCAAGGGCGCAACCTATGGCGGACGTGGTGACACACTGACTTGTTGTGGTAACATGCCGACGACGATTTGAAGGGCCTACGGTGCGGAAAATGATTTTATGTTGCGCGGTGCTAAAATTCCTACGAAACCCAATGGTTTTTGAAGATTTCGGCGTGCGCACGGAAAGAAAAAACGAATGTGTCCCGCATGGTATTATTTGACAGGGATGATGGCCCTGGCAGGTGCGCAACCGTTGTTGGAGAAGTTCGAAGCACGTGAAGAAGTTGATCGCAAAAGCCCGTTTGACAGAAATGTTTAAAAAGTGTTGGGTTTCCTGCAAATCCGCAAGAGCGCGCGGGATGAAATTGTGACACTTTTTAAAAAAAAAAAAAAAAAAAAAAAAAAAAAAAAAAAAAAAAAAAAAAAAAAAAAAAAAAAAAAAAAAAAAAAATTGGTTTTTTGATGTTTTTATGTTGAAATCGCTACGAACACTAAGGTTTTGGAAGGATTTCGTCTTGCGCGCGCGAATGTCCACTTTACCTTATTTTTTGCAAGGGATTCTTGAAATTTGATTATATTAGAACAAGAAATGTCATTTTATAGTGTTTTTTGCAAGGGAAAGCGGATTACAACAAAACAACCGGATCTGGATCACATCGTTTTACCTGAGGCTTCCTCACGAAAATGATGAAAATGCAGCTGCGGCCTAGGCGGCGCAGGGGGGGCGCGCACCAGGGGGCCCAACAATAATTATTCTTTAGAATAAATAATGTTCAACGACAACGACAACGACAACGACAACGACAACAACAACAACAACAACAACAACAACGATTGACACTTCCTCGACGACTGCTACAAACACCTACCTACCTACCTACCTACCGACCGACCGACCTACCTATTCGCTCTCCTGCCTACCTACGTACCTACCTAGACGGCTACTGCCTAACTGCCAGTACTGTTCTTGCGAATACCTCTCCCATCGCTACCACTACTCTGCTTGCCCCTGCAGCCACTGCCCTTCCTCCAGGATCGCGTTCGACGTCCAGGAGGCTGGGGCTGGCAAGAAGAGCGCCGAGGCTATCAACTGCGAGTTCGTGGACGTGGCCAAGCGGTCGCCCACGCGCAGCCCGAGCGGCCGCCGCGGGGACGCGGAGCGGCCCAGGCAGGCCGTCGAGTTCCGCGCCGGGGACTGGCAGTGCCCCAAGTGCGGCGACCACAACTTCGCCCGGAACACGGAGTGCAGGAAGCGGGTCGGGCGTGGCTTAATGGGGGGGTCACAAATGGGGGGGTCAACAAAGGTCCCCTTTCGTGCCCCTTTCGGGCCCCTCCGGAGCCCCAGGGGGCTCGTTTAGGTACCGTTTGGGTACCTTTTCGGACCACCCGCGACCCCCCCCATTTATGACCCCCCCATTACGCGGCGCCCAAGCGGGTGGCCGCGGGGGGGTCGGAGCAGATGGGTTCGGAAGATCGCGCCCATCGCCGACGCGTCGGCGATGTGGCGCGACGTGGAGCCCCATCTTCTGCACGCCGTCGTCGCCGATGCCATCGCCGATGCATCGGCGATACGGCGCGATCCCCCGACCCCATCTACCCGGACCCCGTTTCGGAGGCGTCTGGGGCCAAGGCTCCTAGAGGAAAGGGGTCCTGAATGACTTTTGCCGTGCTCCTGGGCTCCTGGGGCGCTCCGGGGCGTTGGGATCGTCACTGACGACTCGGGACGAAGAGCTGTCGACTACACGAGTGACCCTTCGCTGGAGTTTGGTGCGGGCTCATCGAGGTTCCCTCGATCGCTGAGCGCGATGCGATATCGGCTGCTTGCGCGCTTGGATTTGGCCACCTTGCATTCCCTTTGTCCGCGCACCAGAGGTCACTCTTGCCCAGGGTCACTCTTGCGTGTGGCCGAAACTGGTCCCGGTGACACGGACCAGGACCCGATTCCACCAGGACCTCTTTCTCTCATGCCCAGAGATGCCGAGTCACTCTTGCCCAGGGTCACTCTTGCGTGTGGCCGAAACTGGTCCCGGTGACACGGACCAGGACCCGATTCCACCAGGACCTCTTTCTCTCATGCCCAGAGATGCCGAGTGGTCGAAAACACATGCATTCCAGTCGGAGGAGTTTGATGGAGAGGGAAAACAGCAAGATGAGGAGGAGGAGGAGGAGGAGGAGGACTCGAGCGTTGAGCTGAGTTCAGGGCCCGAGGCCATGAAGAGGGAAGTGGCTCGGAGAAGCGCCCCCGTCTGGCCGCGGCCTTTCCCAGCAGGGTGCTCCCCGCGGAGGGGGCCATCCCCCCTTCAGGCCTCGAGAGGCCATGTGCTCTACTGTGCTGGCGACGTAGTGGGATGCATGCGCTGCGGATCCTTTTTCGGAGCGTGCTTATAGGTCTCAGCTTTACAGGTCTCAGCTGTATCATGAGTGTGAGGGCCCCAAGGCCTTCGAGGGGAGCCCTCAGAGGAAATGGCGACGAGTGGTCGGTGACGATTTCGCCCCCCTTACGTTCGTCTCTTCCTCCTCCTCCTCCTCGTCCTCCTCCTCCTCCTCCTCCTCCTCCTCCTCCTCCTCCTCCTCCTCCTCCTCCGCCCACGCCTCGTCCTACGCCCACGCCTCTGTTGCTTCTTAGCGGGGTAGGTGCTGGATTCCTCTGGTGCGCCGTGCCCCTCCTGTCCCCGCCCCCCGTCCTCCCCCTCTCCCTCCTCCGCCTCGATGCGCGCGGCTCCACAGTGCCTTGTCTCACTATGCTTATGAGATTCCAACCTACTTCAGCCTTGCTCACCAGAAAGAATTTCGAGCACCAAGAAAGTACCAAAACTTGAGAGTGTTCACGTGTCGGGCCCTGGAAGATACTCGTCCGACACGGTTTCGACATTGTTTCGACACTCTTTCGACACTCTTCTGGGTGCTCGAAATTATTTCTGGGATGTTAAGTACGATGGGAGCAGCATAACACGATGCACGCCTGGCGCATCTTGAATCGGGGTTTGCTCTCCTCGATTTGACGACGCACGGTCGGACCGAGGTAGAAGATCGAAGTCGGCTCGGGGACGGCACCCTCATGCTCTCCGTGCCTGCTGGACGTTCGCGCGCACCCTGCGGAGGCCACCCTCCACTGCCCTGTGCGCTCCTGTCGGCGGAGGGCACCCTGTTCTCGAGGGATGCCTTTCCGTCCTGGGTCCGACTGCATCATGGAGACATGTCTCGCTCCGACTTGCGGGCCGAAGCGGCCCACGTGGGCTTCCCCTCCTCCCCCTCCTCCTCCTCCTCCTCCTCCTCCCCCTCCTCCTCCTCCTCCTCCTCCTCCCCCTCCTCCTCCTCCTCCTCCGCCTCCGCCTCCTCCTCCTCCCCCTCCTCCCCCTCCTCCTCCTCCTCCCCCCCACTGCCTGCGCCGCGCGCACGGGGCCCCGAGACGGGCCAGCGGGCCTCCGGAAGCCCACGGGGCGGCGATGGCGGGGCGCTCGCGCGCCACACCGCGCCACGCATGCCGACGGCCTCTTTTTGTGTCTGCGGCGCGCGGGTGCAGCGGCGCCCACTCGTGCCCCCAGGGCTCGACCGAAGCAGTGCTTCCAGCGATCTCGTGGGCCGCTTTCGTTGACTGATTTCGTGATGCAGCAATGGCGGAAGGAAGATCGAACGAGGGAAAACGGAAGCAAAACAAACACATTGTTCAGGTCGAGCCCGGTTGTCTTTATCCAGAATGTGATCCGTGGTGTTTCTTTCCATGCGGCGAGAGGCCTCAGGGCAGTTGCGCGAAGGTTTCTTCGAGCGGTTACAGTGGTGGCTGATGGTGTTGTTCCCGAAGACCTTCCCATCTCCTGGGGTAAAGCTGGATTTCTGGCTAGCTCGTCAGAGCTGGCGCCCAGACTGTGCGAGTCCTCGGACCTCGAACTGAATGACAGACACCCATCCCACAAAGACCTCGGGGGGGGGGGCGCTTCGAACGACGGCGTCCGTCGACTGCCCACCCACCTTGATAGGTTTTTGAGCAGTCCGAGGCGAGCGTTGAAGTTGCGCGCTCTACAGGGTGGAGGTGCTAAGATTGTCCAAGTGCACGCAGCTGGCGCGTCAGCGGTGGCCTTATGGAGCTCGTTCGTCCATGGGATGGCCGACGCGAGGCTTCGCCGCTTGAGGACCGTGGCCGCTCACACCGAAGGCAGGCCCCCGAGAGGAGCGTCGACGGCACTGTTCCCTGGCTGTTCTAAGCGAGGCTGACGCCGCAACCCTGTAGACATCAGCACAGTTGATGGTGTTCAGCAGTATGACGAGGTGCTCTGGGACGGGCCCCCCCGTGACTCAGTCCACCAGACTCTGCTTGAAGATGGGATCAAGCAAGCTGCCAAGGAGCGTCCTTGGGCTCCGCGCAGAGACCTAGCGGCAGCTTTGACTCTATCGCCGCAAAGGGTCGGGTGGAGGCGTGCGGGACCGACGTTGGCGGTTGACGACCCGGGGAGGGAGTGGGATCTGATGTTTTTTTTCGCCGGCCCGCGTGGCTGGCCAGATTCAGCATGTCGCCCGAATAGCGTCGGATCGCTGGGCTCTCTCCTTGCAGGACCGCGGACGCTGGATCAGTTGAATTGTTGTGAGAGGCCCATATTGGAGGCCCTCTTTTGCGACTGGCAGCCTGCCTGGAAGCAGCACCAGCAGGCTGCCTGGCGCGGCCTTGGGTCTGGAACGCACTGGTCTCAGGACAGGCTGCACGAGCATGATGCCAGCGTCGATGCCCGGTATCCACTTTGCCACGTTGCGAGTCAGCGCGAGGCACGCTTCACCACCGTTGTCACCGGTGCCCTGCCCACGGCGCGTGGAGGAGGAGGAGGAGGAGGAGGAGGAGGAGGAGGAGGAGGAGGAGGAGGAGGAGGAGGAGGAGGAGGAGGAGGAGGAGGAGGAGGAGGAGGGAGGAGGGAGGAGGAGGAGGAGGAGGAGGAGGAGGAGGAGGAGGAGGAGGAGGAGGAGGAGGAGGAGGAGGAGAGGAGGAGGAGGAGGAGGAGGAGGAGGAGGAGGAGGAGGAGGAGGAGGAGGAGGAGGAGGAGGAGGAGGAGGAGGAGGAGGAGGAGGAGGAGGAGGAGGAGGAGGAGGAGGAGGAGGAGGAGGAGGGAGGAGGAGGAGGAGGAGGAGGAGGAGGAGGAGGAGGAGGGGCAAAGCGCTTTCGAGCCTGCTGGGGCGGCAGAGCGCGCGGGGCAGGCGCCCCTGGCGCGGGGGGAGAGGCATGCCAGAGGCATCTGCCCAGACCCTGCCGTGTGCGTTTCTCGGCCTGCCTCTGACGGCCAGTGGGCGCTGCGCGAGAGGGGGGATAGAGCTTCCTCTCCTCCTCGAGGGCTGTTTCGTCTTCGCGCACGGCTCGGGGTGAAATGCTAGGTTCTTGGCGCTGCGTTCCATTGCTTGGTCGTGTGTGCTTTAACCTGCTGAGCGTGTGCACTTAGGAGCCACATACGGAGCGGTTCCCCCGTGCTTCTCGGCTTCCTTCTCCGCGAAGGACGGAGAGGACAGTGGCAGAGGAGGCGTTAGATGTTTCAGCGATCTTTCATATTGCAGAGTGGTGCCGCGTGCACGCCCTGAGAGGGCTTCGCAGCGCGATCGTGCAAACACGCAGAGAGCCATTCTAGCGTGGCCTGGATCAGAGAAGGGGTCCTGTCACGCTCGGAGGCAGCCAGAAAGCAGGGCGTTTCGCCAAGTCAGGAGCCAGCTACGGGACGGCTTCGGACCAGGTTGGTGTTGTTCCCGGCGGGGTATCGAGGTGCGTCTCCAGCGTGCAGGCATGCGGCACGCATGTCTATACCAGAATGGCCAGTGCAGATGTACATGATCACCAGGGCTTGGACGCGATCAGGGTATTGGATTTTGGCGCGTTCGAAGCGTATTTCCCCGCTGATTTCCTCGCGGGGGCCCACCATCACTCCGAGGTCCCACCCATGCCCGCTTCTCCTCCTCCCCCTCTGCCTCCTGCTGACTCGCCCTCTGCCCTTGCTGCTGCCGGGGCGGGGGCCGAGGGGTCGGAAGAGCTCGAGGGCGAGAATGCGGAGGGTTTTGAGGATGAGCGGTTTGGCCATGGAGACCTCCGTCCTTAGATGGGTCCAGGGGCGCTCGGAGCCTGAAGCTGGGGCCCCAGGCTCTGAAGCCATCCTCTTTTGCACGACGTGCTACCATTTTGCGACCCACGTTCGGCAGCGTGATCTCTGCGCGCCCTGTGGGGGCCCAAGGAGGTCCAAGAGCGGCAAGGCGTTCACGGTCAGGAAGAGGTTTCGCGATATATTGTATCCAGGCGATCCGTCGGTGACTGTTGATCAGCTTCGGTCTCCGTCCGAAGCCGCCCGTGCGGGATGAGCGGTGCATTTTGGAGTTCGCATGGGCGTGCCTGAGCAGGTGCTCAGTCGGTTTCCGCCCTTTTCGCAGCATGCTGCCGCCCACCGCCTCGATCTCCAAGCTTGTTTGACAGCTTTTGGGCTCGAGAGCCGCGCGCAGGCCGAGGCACTGGGAACCAGGGTCGTGCAGGCAAAGGCCGGGGCTGCGTCCAGGCGCGCGTGGGGCACAGGCATCTCAGCCGAAGAGGGAGAGCTCTGCTGACTTGTGGGGGGGGCGGGGCCGACCTGTCGGGGACCCGCTGCAGGGGAGCGGAACCTCGCAGCTGGTCTGACGAACGTCCTCTTCAGATGGGCGGCCCCACACAGTTTTTCCTCTCTCTCCCTCTCTCCCTCTCTCTCTCTCGCCCTTCCTCTCTCGCCCTTTGCCCTTTCCTGATATGGGCAGTGAACCTCCGGGCGGTCTTGCCCGTGCAGTTCGGAGCCGTTCCCCCCCGGGCGGAAAACGCCACCCGCAGGAGCGGAAACACGAGCCCTTCAGCGGGAAAGCTCGGCGGACGCGAAGAGGGCAAGAGGGGGACGACGACACGGCGACGACGGAGGCTGCAGGCAGGAGGAGAAGACAGGAGGAGGTGGTCGGCGGGCGCGGCGGCGGCAGCGGAGGCCCGAGCGCGAGCCTCAGCCTCCCGACGGAGAGGATGCGGCGCCTCTCGGCCAGGCGAGCTCCGGCAAGAGGGGCCCTCCTCCCGCTCCCCCGCCTCGCTCGCTCGCCCGAGGTGGGCGCGACACGGGGGGCGAGGTGGCGCCGGCGAGCGGCGCGGCGGCGAGGGAATGGGGGGGGGGGGAGCGCGGCGCGCGGAGGGCGCGGAGCGCGGCGCCGCAGCGGTCCGCAGCAAGGGCGGCCCGAGCGGGGGCCCACGGCCCGAGGAGGGGGCGAGAGGCGCGCCTCGGCCGGGCTCTCGGGCCGCGGCGAGGCGGCGGCGGGCGGGCGCCGCGCGCCGCCCCCCGCCCGAGTGCCCACCCGCGCGCGACCGCCCGCTGCCCCGCGAGGCTGGGGCCTGGCTGCACGGCATGCGCTTGGCATCGCTCGGGCGTGTGTGAATGTGTGTCTTTCGGCGAGGAGCATCGAGGAGCATCCTCTTTGATCATTCGGCGAAAAAAGCACGCACGAAGCCGACAAAAAGGCACAGGGAGTGGACGTCCAAGCGATGGCGAGGTTGTGGGGGCGGGGCATGCTGTGCACCCGAGTCCAATTCCGCAATCCGTCCTGGATAGCTCCCCCACCCCCACCCCCCTCCAGCGACGCGGCGCGGCAAGCGCAGCTGGTGAGGGCCCTCCCCCGGTCCCGTCCCGTGCGCACCGCCCGCCTCCCCCTTCCCACGGTGGCGTGCATCGGCAGTGGCCAGGCTCAGAGGCAGCTGAGGACGTGGGACCCGAGGTGCAGAGTGAGCTCACATGAGAGAACAGCTAAGACGCTGCAGTAAGGACCTCTTTGGGTTCAGGAAGGGCTGCAGTTTCCGGGCCTTTTCGTAGCCGAGGCTCGCCGTGGCCACGAAAGCCCTTCACTCAGCGTTTCCGATGGTAGCACGATGACTGCGTGGGTAATGTTTAGAGTGGCATAGTGGTGATGAGTGGTGATGAGGTAGGGTTGCTGCTGTCGCCGCTTGCTGTGGTGCGCCGCTGTCGAAATCCAAGTAGGTCGTAGCCTGCCGTGTGTCCTAGTGCGTGCGTATGCCATGGTCCCCGCTGACGAGGCCGGCCGCGCCAGCGCGCTGAGGTCGGAAGTCTTCCGCCTCTGAGACTCGGAGTGTCCCCGCCTCCTTCTTCCGCGGCCGCCCTGTCCGTCTTTGCCCCCCTCACGCATGCTGTCCAATGCGCTTCTCGGTGCCCCCGTTTAGCTCTATCGCTGTTGCAGCTATGCTGCCTCGCCGCCGACGGAAAAGTGTGTGTGTGTGCTCGTTGCTCGCTTGTTAAAGGGGGCCATCATTAGGTGGTGCAGGAGTCGATGGCATAAGTCGTTTGAGCAAACTTGGACTGGTTGACCCTGGGGTGGTTAACGCACGGGGGGTGAGGTTGACCACACGCTTGTGTGCAGGGCAGTAGTGACCTCGGCCGCAGGCGATGATGGCACGCCAGGATCATGGGTAGGCCGGAGGGTAGTCGGTGGTAGTGGGTGCAGGTCGCGCCTGGCGAGAGGCCGGCCGCACCACGGGCCGTCTGGCTTGCTGGGAAGTGGAGTCGCTGGTTGACCGACGCCTCCATTGTGGCGGAGGTGGCCTGGGGGGCTTCCACGCATTGGCTGCGTCTGCCAGGCGCTCGTCGGAGACTCCAGTCATGGTGCTGCACGGGTTCCTGGGTTGCGCGCTAAGTCGGCTGGGTCGGTTAGGCGGCATGGGTCTTGGTGGACCTATCCGTCGTTGGGACCCTGAGCTCAAGCGGCTTCTGGTCCTGCGGTGCCGCGCTCATCGCTTGCTGGGCGTAATGCAGCCTCGTGGTGCCATTGTCTCTGGTGGTTGGTCGGACTGCATTGTCGCTGTGATTGTCGCTGTTGGCGCCGTCGTCGATGTTCCCCCTCGTAGCTGCTGCAGGCGCTGGCGGCGAAGGTGGGTCCGTCAGTGATACTGGCATTCCGGTGTCTCCGTAGTCTAGCACCTGAATGGTGATACCGTAGCAGCCCTCCATGTTGATGGCGATGATCGGGCAGCGTTGGTCAGAGAATGGAGTCGACGGTCCTTTGTGGTTGATCTGCCAAACTTGCATCAAGCGCTTGAACAATGGGCGGGTTCATTGCAAGTCGGCGTAGTCGCACATGCGTCCGCGTAGGTCGGTGACCCGTCCAGCAACCGTTGGGTAGTTCGGGTTGGTCCGGTGATCCACGTTGGGGTCGAAGTGGCGGTCCAAGCCACGTAGGTCACGGGTTCCATGATATGCAATAGGTATTCGCTGGACCGTGTGGTCGGAACCCCATAAAATATTTGCCTGAGGGCCGCCCTATCCGCTCTTCCCCGCGCTTTGTTCTAAGTACTCCCCCACCCACTTCCCCGCGAACCCAACAATGTGCAAGTGCCCCTCTACCCCCGTGCTAGTGCCCACACTGCTCACTGCGAGTATGCCCCAGTACCCCCATACCCGTGCGGAGGGGGGGGCACAAACATCACTTGTCCCGCTGCGAGTCCTTTTGGGTGCGCCTCTACCTACCCCTTCCTAATCCCCTTCATCCTCTTCATCTCCCTCACGCTTCCCTTCTCTCGTCCTCCTCCTCCTCCTCCTCCTCCTCCTCCTCCTCCTCCTCCCTCCTCCTCCTCCTCCTCCTCCTCCTCTCCTCCTCCTCCTCCTCCTCCTCCTCTCCTCCTCCTCCTCCTCCCTCCTCCTCCTCCTCCACCCCCCTCCTTCACCTCCACCCTTCCTCCGCCTCCCCCCTCCCCCCTCCTCCTCCTCCTCCACCCCCTCCTCTGTTCCTCCAAGGCCCCCCTCCCGAGCGAGAGGCCCTCCCCAGGAAGTGCTCCTGCCCGAAGCCCTCGGGCAGCGGCAGGGACGGCCGCAGCCGCAGCCGGGGCAGGGGCGGCCGCAGCCGCAGCCGCAGCCGGCGCAGGGGCGACCGGAGCCGCAGCCGCAGCCGGCGCAGGTCCCTCGCTTTCGGGGGTGGACAGAACCCCCAACAGTGACACGTCGATTAGTGAATTGTCCGTTTTCGGTTCTCGAGAGGGCGCCGTGGCCGTTATTTTCCAGACTTGCGCCCGCCAGGTTTGGGCCTCAGGTCGTTTTCACTAAACCACGTTTTACTAAAGGGGGGTCTGTCCATCCCCGACGCTTGTCTCGGGCGGGTGGCGATTCAAGCAGTGGCGAAGCGTCCTGGCTCGCCTACAGGTCTGCCAAGCAGCGTTCTAAGAACCCTTTCTGTGGTTTGCACCGGATGTTCTTAGAACACTCCTGGCGGGGACCATCGTGGTTTAACGCGTAGGGTCATGTTCTAAGAAGCTTGTTTTGTTATTAGAACATTTTTGGGGTCTACGAACAATTCGTGGAAGGCCTATAGGAATGCCAGGACTGTCGGTCCCTGCTCAAATGGGGGGTGACCTACATGGAGCGTTCCAGAGAGGTCCTTGCCTTCCGTCGGGCCTGTCCCTCTACAGGAGGAGTATTCAGAAATAGTCCAAAAAAATAGTCTGTGGACGATTGCTCGATGACTTTTGCATGTGTTTGGTGTATTGCTTGACTACTTTATCCGTAAGGGCTTCGCCCCCTGCCGCCGGCCCCCTCTCTCGGAGAATGGGCCATGGAAGAGCTAAGTCATGAGGCTTTGGCGCTGTCGCGCAGCAGTATCGGAACTTCATGCGAGGCCGATTCGCAATCGGCAAAACCAACTGATCACAAGAGGGGTTACCACACAGGGCGATTGGTAAGACGTGTATGGTTTACGAGCTTGGTTACCACACCTTGGGATTAAAGGGCCGAGGGAGTACTCGCAGTTTGGGTTACCACGCCTTGCGATGGATGTCCGTGAGGGGTGGCACCGAATTTCAGAAATGTGGCAAATCCCCTGTGTTTTTGGACCCTGACCCCGCGGATCTGCTGAGGGGTGGCACCGAATTTCAGAAATGTGGCAAATCCCTTGTGTTTTTGGACCCTGACCCCGCGGATCTGCGTGAGGGGTGGCACCGAATTTCAGAAATGTGGCAAATCCCCTGTGTTTTTGGACCCTGACCCCGCGGATCTGCGTGAGGGGTGGCACCGAATTTCAGAAATGTGGCAAATCCCTGTGTTTTTGGACCCTGACCCCGCGGATCTGCGTGAGGGGTGGCACCGAATTTCAGAAATGTGCAAATCCCCTGTGTTTTTGGACCCTGACCCCGCGGATCTGCGTGAGGGGTGGCACCGAATTTCAAAAATGTGCAAATCCCCTGTGTTTTTGGACCCTGACCCCGCGGATCTGCGTGAGGGGTGGCACCGAATTTCAAAAATGTAGCAAATCCCATGTGTTTTTGGACCCTGACCCCGCGGATCTGCGTGAGGGGTGGCACCGAATTTCAAAAATGTGGCAAATCCCCTGTATTTTTGGACCCTGACCCCGCGGATCTGCGTGAGGGGTGTCGATTTCGAGCCCCCCCCAGCAATTCAGACAACGCGCCCAGGGGGTGCTAAAAATCCTGTTTGGGCCTCCCCCCTCCTCGCGCGGCCAATCAACTAGTTACAGTAACCAGCAAGAAGCAGAACTGTAACACTGGAAACTACAAGCTACAACTGGTACTCGAAACTGCGAACCCGCGCCTACAGCCTGGTGGCCCCATAAGGGGGCCGGCGGATATTTTTCGCCCCAAACCGGCCTGTAGGGGGACACGCCCGACCTAATCCTTGCTTTCGGGCATCGGAGGAGTTGTCGTCTCTCCTCGGCGGAAGGCGACGGGAGTGCGGCGGAAGGCGGCGGCAGTAGAGCGAGGCCACTTCCGCCGGCGGCCGCCGCCAGCGGAAGCGGGCAGGAGGGCGGCGGGAGGTGGCGGAAGGAAGCAGTGCGCCCCCATCAGAGGCGACGATGGGGGGGAATAGCCCAGAGGAGGGCAATACATGTATTCAGGTGCGCCGATGATCTATGTCTTCGAAAAGGCTCCCGGGCGAATGCGTGTAATGCCCGCCCCTGGGCTATTCGCCCCTATCGTCGCCGCCGCCCCCAAGAGATGACAACATTTTTGGGTTCAGGGTTTCCAGAATCCGCCAAACAAAGGGTGAAGAAAGGGGCCCTAAAGGAGCCCTTTGGGGCCCCTTTTTTGAGGGGGCTCTAAATCAAAAGGGTCCCGAAAGGGCCCCTTGAGGGCCCTGTCCTTCACCCCCCATGCCGGTCACCCCCCGATCGTCGTCGTTGCGCTCAGGGCACCGTTGTTGCCGTCGCAGCTCGTCGTCGTCGACAGTCGCTGTCGTCGTCGCTCGCCGTCAACGTCGTCGTCGTCGCCCGCCGTCGCTCCCCGTCGCCGCCGCCTCTTCGGGGGCCGTCAGAGAAGTGGTCCTTGAGCCTCTCGCGCCACGTTGGAGCCCCCCTGGGGCCGTCCTCCTCCTCCTCCCTCCTCCTCCTCCTCCTCCTCCTCCTCCTCCTCCTCCTCTTCCTCCTCCTCCTCCTCCTCCTCCTCCTCCTCCTCCCCCTCTGGGCCTCGTGAGGAGCGCTGTGGAGGCCACGGGGGCCCATCTGGAAACTCCGTGGAGCTGGGCGCGGGCCGCCATCGGCTCGGCGGCGAGCCCTGGGGAAACGTGCGAAGGGGTGGACCCCCTCAGAAAACTCGGCAGGTCTGGGGCCCTCTGAGAAGTTCTCGAAGTTTGCCCCGAAGACCGAGAGAGCTTGCCAGAAGGCGCGAGGGCTTCGGAGAGCCCCCGCCGCATTCTGGGAAGGCCTGCCCCCTCTCACTTCCCCCGCGGGTTCGCCGCCGATCAGCAGCGCCCAGTCGTTGCGTTCAAAACGTCTTCGTTCCCGTCTCCATCGCCGTCGTCGTAGGGGTCGTGAACTATATAGATGAGGGACGCAAAGTTGAGCAGGATTGTTCCCGCGAAGGGCCCAGGACCGATTTTGAATAATTTGGCCCCCACCCTTCTCATGCTCCGCCTCCTCATCCTCGCCTCCTCCTCCTCCCCCTCCTCCTCCTCCTCCTCCTCCTCCTCCCTCTCTCCTGGTCCACTTCCTCATCAGCAACCATCCTTCTCCTCCCTGCCTGCCTCACCCTTCCCACCCCCTCTTCATCTCCACTCCCGTTCCTTATGGTTTCCCTGGAGGTTGCAGGAGGTCCTCGGACCCTGGGCGTTTACAGTCTCCGGCGGTCAACAGAGACTTCTAGACGATTGGCAGTGTCCACCAAACGACCCAAGCTCCGATACGACTGGTAAAAGATAAAGACTATTGACACAAGGCGGGCAGCAACAGCCATCACGAATAACAGCGCCGCTGGACTACCAACTACAGACATTGTGGCGCATGCTGCATTCACCAGAGCCATGATACTTAGCAGCATGTCGCTAGCTCAACAGGCCTGGGAATCGTACACCACCACGCGGACCATGTAGGGCTACTACGATCACGCCAAGGCACCCCAGAACGATATTTAAAGGTACGCCACCGAGCTGAAGGCCAAGATAGACGAGCTCAACACCATCCAGCGGGACACCAACATAGCCAAGGACGACGTTTACAGCGACGCTGGAGCTACACACGACGAGGTCGACAGACCACAGAAAGATGGATCACACAAGCGGGCGCACCAAGGAAGCAAACAAGGGCCGGGGGGACGACAGAGGGGCAGGACGCCGGCCTGCGGCTTAATTCCTTTTCAGGAGGACAGCCAACGAATAACGCAGGATATCAAAAACAAAAACAAAAAACAAAAAAAAAAAATGACGGCAAGAACGAGATCCACGACCTCCAGAAACACGTGCGTGCCGTAGCACAGAGCGCACAGAAGCACAAATAATGAAAAAAACGAGAAGCGGCCCAAGCTCGGCACTACGAGCACGAGCTGGAGGACGAGATCGAGAATGCCAATATTACGAACGTCAAGTTGGCCGCTCACCACGAGCTCCTACAAGCCAGGAGCACAGCAGCACCACAGGACGGAGGAGGAGTCCGAAGAGGTGATGCGTGCCGTAACAGATACCCCAGAATGCCGCGATCACGCCGAAACGGTGGCACAACAAAGAGAGTTAAGGACTGCACAGCAGAAGCTCACCGAAAGCTACACCGACCACAAGAGCATACAGCAGCAGCTGCGCGCGGCAGAAAAGGTGGACATCGAGAGGCAGAACTGTTTCCACAAGACGATGGAGGCGGAGCAGCACATCGCGACGGCAGGAGCGCAGAGCCACAGCGATCTCAGCGAGCAGAGTCATCTCCGAAAGGAGCGGGACGATGCCGACGCACGAGAAACACAGGCAAGCGAAGGCAAGTATTGGCAACATTCGGGCGGAGCACCAACAGAGGATTACAGGCATTGAACGACTCGTGCAAGCCGACGCAGAACAGGCCCAACACCACGAACGAGATTGCAGGCACGTTGTGACCGACATGAACACATACGAGCAGCAAGCCCGGAAGCATGCACTACAAGCTGAAGGTAGAGCGCAGTCGGCACCGCAAAGCGCGGAAATCGGCAAGGTGGAGCAGCGCGAGGCCCACCGACGCGAGATCCAGATTTACCGGCAGGAAGGAGCGGATTGGAAAAAATGGAAGGCAACACGGGAGGGGCGCACCGAAGAAGCAACCGAGGATCATCATTGTCACGCGGCAAGCGCAGCAGGGGAACGCCTTCACAACGTTGAGATGCCTGACACGATCGAGAAGGCCCCGGCCACACTGATGCCGACCGACGATGACGAGGCACAACAGATCACGTCAACGGTCGAGCCACTACTCTCGCAAGACATGGACCTAGAAGAGACCTGGCTAACGCAGCCCCCCCGTGACCACGCGGCAAAGGGCTCCGACGCGCGTGGAGCTACTGCGCCGCAGCAGACCCCAGATGAACAACATCACCTCCGCCCTTCGACTCCGACCGGAGCCCACGGAAGAGCGGGCGCACCATCGGCTGCAGGAGCGGCGAGTTCGGGGACATCAGCGAAGGCACTCCAGAGCCAGTTGGCCCAACGTGGAGCATCGACGGCGACTGCGCGACGCCGAGCGCCTGGACACCGCGACCTACACCACCAGGACAACTCGACGGGCGCGCTGACCATCTCACCAATGCGATCATAGCGTTAGACACGCCATCGCCAGGATGACTGGGGGCGACAGGGTCAGAAACGCCGAAGATCACACCCCAGAAGCCATTTCACCATGGAGGATGTTCATCGGCACGCCTGGAAGGGGGCCCTCTTTGCCTTTGGAGCGCAAGCCCGAACGTCGATCTCAAGGACATCACCTTCAGCGCGAGGAGGTCCACGGACACCGCCCGCGCGGGCCGGGGGCAGCAACTTCAGATCGCAGGAATCGAGACCATCAACCACCCGCTGAAGGATACGACGTTCACCTCATCGGCGCGCAGGAGACCAGGGTGCCGAGGTGCGGCGGCAACCGCGCGCGGATTCCAGGCCGCTTCCAGCGGGCGTGACAACTACAATTTCGGGCGCCCCCTCCTCGCCAACACCGACTTGTCTTGCGCCGAGAAAAGACGCAACGGAGCCGAAAGTAACGCGCCACCCAACCACGTCGACGTCTTGCACGAGAGCCCCAGGGCGCTCGCGGCCCGAATCACCGCGCCCGGACGACGACGACGAACGGCGGCACTTGCACACGCCACGCGCGGCCACTCGGGGGGCGACAAGACCGATGAATTTGGGGTGGGCCTCAGCAGCGCGACTGCGACCTGTTCATGATCGGCGCCGATGCAACCACAGGAGCGATCGCCTGTGACTCCACGGGCGGCCGCGGCGCGAGGCGCGGGGGGACCTAGCCAGCAGTCGCTTCCACGGGCACCCCGCCACCTTCAAGCTCGCCGCCGCAAACGCAGCTGCGCAGCGCAGAGGATATACATTGACTTCCAAGAAGAGCAACAAGAAGGAGCTCGTCGACTAGATCGCCCTACCCATGTGCAATGTGGACACCAGAATGAACGCCGCGACCATAGACAACATCCAGGACACAGGAAGACGAGGGCCACCTGCCCGCCACGATGCAGCAAACCGACGCGGTGATCTCCAATGCCAAGCACGCGGCGCCAAGGCTTGATCCGACCCTGATCGCCAACGCAGAGCACCAGGAGGCATTTCAGTCGGAGTTGCACAAGATCGGCCCACAACCCTGGGAACGCGACATCAACGATCACTCCGCCCAGCTCAACAAGAGGGCCAGCGAGGCAATGGGGAAGGCCCGCGAGCAGGAAGCCGCGCGGGCACGGGAGCCACGCATAACTGACAGAGCTTTCGCGCCACGAAGAGCACGACATGCGAGCTCCCATGCTGGGAATGGAAGAGCGAATCCAATTCTACCGACGCCCGATTCCAAACAAAAAAAACCAGGCATGCCAGCTCACCGAACCCACCACCCCGATTCGCCCTGCGAGGCACGCCACGCACGATCCGACAATGCTGACAAACCTGATCCGCGCAGGACGACGAGTGGTAGGTCACCAGTCGGAACGCGACGAGCCACACATTGCCCTCGACGCTTTATTGCAACAGCAAAAGCGACAGCTGGCATCGGGGATGCGAGACGACAAGGGAACCTTGCACGGCACCTACCGCGACAACAGGGAGGACGCGAGCGGCAACAGGCATTCCCCGATGGATTGGGACGGCGTCGAACATGGACAGCATCGCGGGGGGGGTCTTGAAGCGCGCGCCAACCGAGCGCCGCTTCGCCGTTGGCGCGCACGAGGAACCCGCGACTGGCGAAGAGGCCCAAGCGGAGGCGGAGCTGGACCATTTCGGCGTCGCCGACCACGCCAGGTTTCGCCACCCGGAGGGCGCGGCCAAGAACAGCAACGAGCACGCGGGCGAGGCCATCAGGCATTGCGCGAACGTTGACACCCCCATCGCCAGCGCCGCTACCAAGGACGCATTGGCCGCTAGCTTCTACGGCGCCGAGCCGAACAGGCACGGGGGGCCCGACGACATCACGGGCGACGCGCGCCGAACCGCCAATCGAGACATGGCCCGAACCCACCGCCAGGTGCTAGTCAAGCCACAGGTGGCGACCGTCGAACTCTTCTTCCCACAGGGGCGGGCGGCAGGCATCATTCGCCAAGAACGCGACTAAGAGCAAGCAACTGGCAGACAGGCGGATGAGATTGCTGAGCAACATGATGACCAAGCATCAGGCAGGTACTTACTGGCGGCGTGTAAGGAAGCGACAATCACGTCACTACGGGACGTCCAACGCGGAGCACGACCCAACGAAAGCACAGCTTTCATGACACATACCACATCGACCTACATCGCATCATAAGAAGCAAGGGGCCAGCAGAGTCCTCCTGTTCCTCGACATTTCTGCCGTCATGGTCTCAGGGTCTCAGCGCCCCAGGACGAGGAGGAAGAAGAGGAGGAGGAGGAGGAGGAGGAGGAAGAGCAGGAGGAGAAGGAGGAGGAGGAGGAGGAAGAGCAGGAGGAGAAGGAGGAGGAGGAACAAGAGCAGGAGGAGGAGGCGGAGGAGGAGGAGGTGGAGTAACAGGATAGGAAAAGGAGGGAGGAGTAACAGGATGGGGGTTCTCAGCGCTCCGCTGGGTGCAACGTGCCGCCTTCGGCTCAGGGGCGGCAAATCCGAAGGGGTATTCGGTCAACGCTTGGACCCTACGCTGAAGCACCCGCAGTTTTGCAACCATGGCCCAGCGCGGATGCGGCCGCATCGTGCCATCGCCCCAGCTCTGACACGTCTTCTGCGCGAGTGCCGAGCGGAGGTGGGCATCGAGCGTCTTGTGCCCGCGCTCATTCGCGTGACGCCCAGAGGTGGTGTGCAGGAAGCTTTGATGGACCTGGTCGTGACACGTCCAGGTTCGGTCCAGCCTGTGTACCCTGATGTCTCCAAGTGCTTTTTCCGCACACCCCGCGGTACGGTCAGGCAGCTGCGTGCCCGGGTGAGGCCGCGGATTCGGCCATGGCGGACAAGCGCGCGCGCTATGGCAGCGGCGTGCTCACGGCTGCTCTGGAAAGAGATAGGCGTCTCGCCAGTATCACGCATCGCGCCTCGGAACACATCGCCACGCATGCCACGGCGTGCCTCCTCGACCAGTGGGCGGTTCCCAGACTTGGTTCCTCGGCGGCGGGCGTGTCTGGAGCGCACGGTCAACTTTTCCACGGCGGACATCGACCAGCTCGCCTTGGGATGTGCGCCAGCAGCGACTGAGGCGCGGGTGCTCAACAGCCCAGTCGCCGGCGCCGAAATCATTCTCCATTGTTCCCAATATGTTGATTGTATGTTTCGTGTTTCGACGGTGTCTTAGCAGGACGAAGGAGGCCGAAGGGGGGAAGCCGCTGGCCCGGGGTTCGCCGAGCAGGAGCCCCAGCCGCCGCCGCAGCCCCAGCCGCCGCCGCCGCAGCCCCAGCCGCAGCCGGAGCCGCAGCGGCAGGTGAGGGGGGGGGCGCGCGGCTGCGGCGGCGCGGAGGCCGAGGCACGCCGGTGGGGCCTTCCCCCCAGGGCTGCGTGGGGCGGCCCCGCCCCCATCCGAGGTGGGCGGCGCACGGAGGGCGGGGGGTGCGGCTCGGACCCCCGACTTTCCGGCGAACGCGAAGACACAATCGCGCTTTTCGAAGGACGAACGAAAAGATGACGAAGAAGAAGAAGAAACACAATATTAGAATATATGAGAGACGAACCACAAATTCATAGAGATGAAGATGTCATAACCCTGGCGTCCCGAAGTAGTAGTATCGATGCGAAAACGTAATAACAATAATCCGCTGGCCCCCCCTTTCGGAGAATCGGGCATGCAAGAGCTACGTTGCAAGGCCTGGGTGCCGTCGCGAAGCAGCGTCGGAACTCCAAATGGGGGCCACTGGAGATATGAGCGTGCCAAAATAAATCAAAAACCGAACATACGGAAAATCACAGATGTTGGCCTCTTGGGCCTTTTTTGGGGGGAGTTATTGGAGCGTTTGGGGGGGCTTCGTGGAAGCCTCTTGGGCCGTCATGGGACCATCTTGGGCGCCTCGGAGTACTCTTGGGCCGTCTCGGAGGCCTCTTGTAGCGCTTTGGGGGGCGAAGGATGTTGGCCTCGAAAACGCGAATACCGCGTGCATTCCATCGGTGTATGTGTTCGGGGACGCGATGATTGCGCAATTTACAAAGAATCGTGGTTTCGGGGACGTAACTAGTATGAGTTTACGAAAGAGTTTTTGCCTCGGAGACGAGAATGTTGCACAAGTTTCGAGAAGAAGAAAGAAACACAACAAACACATATGATTTCGGGAGCGCGAACACAGCGTAATGGACGAGAGTTTAAGGCGCCAGGGACGCTAGCATTATATAATATGTTGGGGGTTATGGCCCCGTGGGCGCGAATACTCCGCAATGCAAAAAAAGTCCGGGGCACGAATCTCATGTATTCTCACGTGTCCCAGGACCCCCATGAAATTATGATAACCTCCAAGTGAAGGTAACCCATGCCATTTTCGCCCCCCCCCCTCCCCCCCTCGCGCTGATTTCAACAATTCACCGTAAGAAGCAGGGCACAGCATTGCAACATCGGAGGATGGAAGCTGGAACTCAAGCAGGGAGCAACAAGCCTAATCCGCTGAGCCTGATAGACCCGCAAGGGGCCAGCGGATAATGGTTGTAAGACGAAGGAAAAGAAGAAGAAGAAGAAGAAGACGCAGAAAGGAAGTCCTATCACCCGGGGACGAACCCAATCCATCTGCAGCATGTGGGGATGTCAACGGGCCCAACCCGAACGCGCCCTGATCGGAGAGGGCATGCGACCCCCTGTGAAAGCTATGTGGAAAGACATGGCATTGCAAGCGTCATGGGACCCATGTGAAGCAAGTCCAGGGGAAAGGAGGCGGATGGGACAGGAAATAAGGACGACGTGGCCACAGAAACCGATCTGGGGTGGAAGTGTCGGCCCCGCCGAATGGGTCGTTCGAGAGCTTTTGGGGGAGGGCGTCGACTACACGTAGGAGTGACCCTTCACTAGAGTGACCTTCGGTGCGGGCTCACTGGGGTCTCCCCGATCGCTGAGCGCGTTGCGGTAGTGGTTGCTTGCGTGCTTGAATTCTGGCCATCTTGCATCCCTTAATCCGCACACGAGAGGTCACTCTTGCCTAGAGTCACTCTTGCGTGTAGCCGAGGCGGGGCGAGAATCGACTCCTGCACAGAGTGGAAGTCTCAGGTCGGACAGAATCAGAAGGGGGAAAAAACACAGACACAATGAACCGTCGACTCCCCAGAAGACATGGGAAAATATGGGAAGTTGAGGGGAAGACAGAAACCCGGAAAATATGGGAACATATGGGGAATCCTGACATTTGTGTCTATTTATTGCGAAAGCTTTACGGCCGGTGCCGCCGACCCTGCATGGCGGCGACAACCACGACCACAACGACGAAGCTCTCGGAGGTTTCTTGGGGGTAGTTTGGGGGCCTCTTGGGAAGCTCTTGGGGGCGGCCGCTTGGGAGCCTCGTGGGGGCCTCTTGGGGCTTCCTGGGGGTCTCTTGGGGGCCTCTTGGGCTTCTTGGGAGGCTTCTTAGGGGCCTCTGGGAGCCTCTTGAGAGCTTCTTAAGCCGAGGGCTCGAAATGTCCGTTCGGGTGGGAACATATGGGGAATCAGGTGATTTGTGTCTATTTATTTGTGTGTCCCAGGGCCCCCTTCACAGAAGGGGGGACTGGGAAGCGCGGTGCGCACCCCTCGTCGATTCCCAAGAAAAGATTGGAAAACATAGAGGGGGGGGGAGGCAAAGACCTGGAAAAATATGGGAAAACATGTGGGAAATCTTGTGATTTGCGTCGATTCGTTTCTGTGCCCCGGGGCCCCCTTTCGCAGGAGGGGGGACTGGTTGGTAATCCCCAAACGTGGTGGTGACAGCACCTGGCGGTGAGTCTCGGGCGATTTGGTGTCACCACCCGGTTTGGGGACCCGTGCGGTTTTCCGAGGACGTCCCGAACACTGGTGGGTCCAGGAGTCACAAGACCCGGTGGTGACCCCGTGTCCCCAAACCCAGCGGTGACCTTTTTGGGGATTCCAGGTCGCCACCTGGTACGGTAGGTTCGCGCGGCGATGGCGCGCTGGCGACGCCGGCGAAGGCGTTCAAGGTTGAACTCCGCACCACAGAACGCGGATGTACCGAGGGACACGGCAACGCCACAGGACCCGACGAAATTCAACTTTGAACGATCGGGGCCGCGATCGATTCAAGGCCGAGCGATCGAAGTGGTGTCAAAAACCTCTGCGCGTGCCGACGCCGCACGAACTTGCCGTATCTCACCACCCGGTTTGGGGGGTCCCAAGCTGGGAAGCGCGGTGCGTACCCCCCCCCCCCCCCCCACTTGCTGGCCCCCCTGCGTCGCCCGACCCGAGAGGCGTCGCAGCTACCCCGGGGGGAGGATGGCGAGGAGGGAGCAGGAGGAGGAGGAGGGGAGGGAGGAGGAGGAGGAGGAGG